CATTAAGTCTGAGTTCAAAGTGCCAGGATCTAGGGGTTGGGTGAAAGCCCTTTGACCTTGGGCTTCAGCTCTGCCTCTTGCTCCTGGCCCACTGAAGCTAGAAGCATCTCTTCAATCAGGCAGCTACTGGCTGCTAGGCTAACAAGCCCAAGGTTGACAAATAAAATGGCACAGTCCTGATGTTACCAAACCACACAGCAGGCCATTAATTCAAGTCTGTTGAAAGTCCCGGGATTGGCAGAGCATGGCAGGCTGCTGAGCAATGACATGGCTACATGCAGGGCCCAAGTGTGCCTAAGCTAGAGACCATTCCAAAAGCTGTTTCTTATATTTGGGAAGCAGCCCACATTCCTCAAGCAGCTACTCAGCTGCTTGTGGTAGATCCCACCATGGAGTTGCTTGCCCAGTCTCATCATGGGGAATAACTACCACCAGCTCCCCAGCCACTCAATCAGGCCCAGCCAAGTTGACACACAAACTTAACCACCACAAGTAGAATCCATTTCCTTGCCTTTTCAGGCTTCTGGAGGCCACTTTACATTCCTTGGCTGATGGTCACTTTCTCCTTATTCAGGCCAGCAGTGTGGCATCTTCATCTCTCTCTCTCTCTCTCTCTCTCTCTCTCTCTCTGACTATTGTTGTTAGGTGCTGTCAAGTCGATTTCTATTGATAGTGACCCAGTGTGACAGAGTAGAGCTGCCCCGTAGTGTTTTCTAGGCTGTAATCTTTATGGAAGTAGATCAACAGGTCTTTCTCCTATGAAGCTACCGGATGGGTTTGAACTGCCAACATTTCACTTGGCAGCTGGGTGCTTAACAGTTGTGCTACCAGGACTCCTCCCCTCTCTGACCACAATCTCTGTTTTCATTTTCACATCTTCACTCTGACTCTGACTCTTCTGAATCCTTCTTACAAGGACCCTTGTGATTATATTGGCCCCATCTAGGTATTCCAGGATAGCTTTCCCATCAAAATCTTTTACTTAATCACATCTGCACAGTCCCTTTTGCTGTATAAGTTAACACAGGTTTGGAGGAGCAGGATGTGGATATCTTTTTTGTGAGTATTATTCTATCTGCCATATACTCTTTAAATAGCTTTTCTTTGGGTTCCGCTATCATTTCAGACAGATAACCCAATTCCATTTCTAGATTTTTCTTTGCCCATTTCCAGTTTATATGGGAGGCTGGCAGGGGAAAGCAATGGAGGGAGTCCACTTGGGTTCTGGATTTCCTAGAAGGATAAAGAACAATGATGTTCAGGAGAGGTCCCACCAGAATGATCTGGGATGCTTTTCCATTTCTCAAACCCACTAAATCTCACTGCCATAGAGTCAGTCCTGATTCATAGCAGCCCCTCCTTGGGTTCCCAAGGCAGTATCTCTACGGAAGTAGACTGCCCAACCTTCCTTCAGAGGAGTGGCTGGTGGGTTTGAACCACTATCCTTTTGGTTAGCAGTCAAGTGCCTTAGGCACTATGCCACCAGAGCTCCCTTTTCCATTCCAGGCATCACAAATTCTGACATGCCCTGCCTTGGGAGGTCCACCTCTTCTGCCCTACTTTGAATCATGCCGAAGGGAGCCATTGTCCATGAGAGCCTTGTGTGTTTCCCATGTGTAGGAGCTAAAAGAAGGGTGGTGACCAGTGATGCTGAGGGAACTTTGAGAGGACAGATTGGATTTGAGGTTGGAAAGGAGATTGTGAGCTGGGGAAGTACCCTGAATGATGCTGACAAGGGTGCAGTGACTTCCTTGTCCCAGGAGGGAGAGTGGAGAGGGTTTGGAGGATGAGGATGATAACCATATGGACCATGTGGTTTTAGAGCTGTTGAAGGTGAGACTATATGAGAAGTCCTGAGTGAAACCTGCAAGGAGAGAGGGACCTGCTGGACTGAGAACAAGATAAGTCAAGTTTCAAGAGAGGAACAGGGATCTCTTGATCTCTGTGCCTCCATACATGTTCTCTTCAGTGGAAAGTTTACCATGAGTGAAGCTAGCAAGGGCTGTTAAATTTGAAAACTTGTTAAACAAAGTCTAGAAAAGGGATAGATTGGGCCGTAGCAGGGAGGAGTATGCAGGCTTCCCTTGATGGTCTTTCCTTCAGCAGGGCTCATAGAGCTGACTGGTTGATCTCAGCTCCCATCCCATCTGGGTGAGACATTTCCGTTCTTTCTGGGAATTTCTGAGATACATACAGTTTGCCATGGGGGGTGCCAAGACTTGCTGGGAAAATCTGGCTCAGAGCAAATGACTGTGTATGGATGATTGTTGGCAGAAGGGAAATCCCTTTCTGCATGCATGAATTTGTTCTTTATCATTGCCATGGTACCTGGTTCAGTCACTCTGAATGTTATTTTGGAGGTGGATGATACAGATATGTATCATTTTTCTAAATTTTATTTATTTTGTTGTTGTTGAGATTATACATAGCAAAACATACACCAGTTCAACAGTTTCTCCATGTACAATTTGGTGACATGGATTACAGTCTTCGAGTTGTGCAACCATTCTCCCCCTCCTTTTCCGAGTTGCTCCTCACTCATGAACATACACTCACAGCCCCCTAAGGTTCCTATCTAATCCTTCAAGTTGCTGTTGTCAATATGATCCCGTGTAGACAGTTCTTAAAAGAGCTCAAAGCTCAAAGCAGACCTTTTTTCACTAGCTGAGGTAAACTGTTGTGCAGTTTTAAGATGACTTCAGGGGAGCAGGGA